CACGTGGGAGCCAGCCCTCCTCCCACCCTGTGGGCTGCACCCCGCTGGGGCTCAGCACCCACTGTCAGCCGGGCTTGCATCTGCCTGGAGCACACAAAGATGGGCATGTTTATCTTGCAGCTTCCAGGGATGCTCAGCCATCCCTAATTGCCATAAATATAAATGCTTTTTGCTTCATATCACAGAACAGAGGAATTTCCCTTTTTTTTCTTTTCTTTTTTTTTTTTTTGTTTCTTTTCTGAGGCCTCCCTCAAAGTCATCCCTTCCCCCTCCCTCCGCTGCCTCCTTCCCATGTAAACAAGCACAGACACACACAGTCTGACACATCACACACATGGAGACACGCTGATGGCCCTGCAGCGGCCAGCGCTGCCTGGCACAGGGACAGGGTTGGCAGCACACGCGGGAGGCGGGCGTGCGGGCAGGGGGGAAGATGCTCGCCACTAAAAAGAGCTCTCAGTCCGCCTCGTGCAAGCCCGGAGAAGGTTGAGAGCCCTCAGGCTCCAGCCCCTCGGACTGGAATGAGCGAGCCGATGATGGATGCAGAGGGTGGTGTGAAGTCTCGCCCCGGTGCGAGCCGCCTGCCTGACACAGCTGCTCTGTGCCGGCTGCAGGAGCGATGAGCCATCGCTGCGGGGACACGCAGCCCCGGCCGTCACCCCGGCAAGGTCTCTTTCCCATCCTGTCCTTCCCGTTTCTCTGCTCCAGCAGCTGACTTCTGGGGGAGTTGGTGTGTTTGCAGCGCTCCCCAGGCTGTCTGGGGATGGCCCCGGGCAGCGGCGGCAGCTCGCTGACCTGAAACCCAGCGTGTGCCATGCCCGGGACTCGCTGCTTTCACTCGCCTCCCAATGAGCCTTTAAAGAGACACTGGGGAGCTCAACAAGCCAGGGAGGCTCTTCCCCGGGGGGCTGCCCCGGTGCCCTACACACCGCCCATTCCAAGGAGCAAGATGGAGCTGGATCGCATGGAGGGAGACTGCGAGGGCAGGGGGGTATCGCCTGCCCGGCACAGGGCGGCACCGCTGCTGGGGCCCTGCTCGGCCTGAACGCCCTCGGCACGGGACCGCCCGGGACTCCCCAGCTCCGGGGGCTCGGCCCCAAGGGCAGCGCTCGCCGCTTGGGCAGCTTCGCCAAGAACCGGGGTAGCCCAGGGCCGCGAGAGGCCGGAACCCCCACCGCGGCCCCCACAGCCATCCCGTGAGCTCTCCCGGCTGCCAAGGACTTCCAGCAGGTAAGACATCGGGACAGGCAGGGGTACCCACGCCTGGTCCAGATTCCCGGCTCGGCTCCGCGTGAGAGCCGCGGCGGTGCC